TAACCATCTAGAAATTATATCTGCTGTGTAACTTCCACCAGATTATTCTTACTCTTCTTCCACCTTCTCTGGCCTGTACTCCCTGTTAACTCTAGCTTGGCCAAAGAAAATGAGCCACAGGATTCCCCAGCTGAGTACTGGAACACAGAGCCGGCAATTTACATGGAGTCAGGCACTCTAACAGTACACTAACTGAAGAAGATGTAAAGAGACCAGAATCACTCAGTCAGATCACACAAAGCATTCTGAAGAATTCAGGAGTGCTAAGAACCCATCCAAACCAAAGATGGTTGTGGATGTGACATGATGAGGTGTGGTGGCAGACACCTATAATCCCAAGCACGTAGGCAGCTGAGGCAGGACTGCCACAAATTCTAAACCAACCTGGGCTACTGAGTGAGACCTTATCTCAAACCCCACCACCACCACACACAGAAAATGGGCTATTTTTCAGTCAGGTTTATGAGTGCACCTTCATGAATACTGCAATGATACGATATCTCTACCCTCAAAAAGGTTATGACCCAGGTGGGGAAACAACACAATCCATGTCAACAAATAGCGCTGCAACCCAGAAGTGGAGCTTACATAACTGACCAGAAACACAAGGGACAAAGTCACAGAACACAAGCTTGAGAAAGTGAGCTGGGGATGAGGTGGAGTTATTTCAATCCTGTGGCTACTAGGTGTCTCTGTCTATGGGGAGCAGCTGTAATGAGGGAAAAGCGTGTATTAGTTTGGCAAAAGCAAGAGGCAACTTGATGAAGACCAACAAGTACATTGCTGTTTTGATGTGAGTTCATCAAATTACCTCTGCAAATAGGGAAAAATTGAGGCAACTGGTATCACATTTGCTGAGAAAGATACCTCCTCATCCACTTGAAAAGAAGTTTAAAAAAAGCTCCCTAGATTCTGTAAACACAAGGACCAAGATTCAGAAATATTTTTCCAGGCTGGGGATTTAGCTTAGTGGTGCTGCTGCCCATCTCAAAAGTGCAAGGTCCTGAGTTGATCCCCAATACCGGAAAAATAAAAAAAGAAAAGAAAAAGAAAAACAAAGCTTTCTCTGCCAGTGTGTTGGGCTCACATCTATAATCCCAACACTTGGGAGGCTGAGGCAGGAGGACTGCCTCAATTTTAAGACCAGCCTGGGCTACAAGAGACAATTCTATACCATCCTTAGCTACATAAACTGACTCAAAAAAACAAAACAGAACAAGAAATATTTTCCCTTAACTGTAATCTGACATTAGAAAAGTCAAACTGCCAGGCATGATGGCACACGCCTGTGTACTCCCAACATTTAGGTGGCTGAGATGAGACTTCCTCAAAGTCAAGGCCAGCCTGAACTACTAATTGAGATCCTGACGAAAGAAAGAAAGAAAAGAAAGAAAAGAAAAGAAAAGAAAAGATGGATGAAGTTTCTCCAAATACGATTAACAGGTTTATTCAGTAGGAATATGTAAAAAACCAAACCAAACAAAACAAAACAAAAACCTCCATGTGGATATAAAAAAATTTTTAAATGTAACAGTTAAATTTGGGCCCAATTTCCACTACCAATCAATCAGGAACTTCTAATTATATAAAGTGTTACACTTCGTATCTTCAACCTACCTCACAAATGAAAATAACCACCCCTGGTAAGAAGCTGTACCTTCTTACATAATCTCAAAATAGCTAAAGTAACTTTCTAAATCAGGCATGGTAGTACATGACTATAATCCCAGTGCTCTGACAGGCTGAGGCAGGAGGATCCCAAGTTTGAGCCCAACCTGAGCAATTTACCCAGAATCTAACTCAAAACACAGAAAAATGCTGGATGTGGTGGTGCATGTTTGTAGGAGGCTGAGGCAGGAAGATTGCTGAGAGTTCAAGGACAGCCTGGTGGGTATATAGTTGAGTCCAAGTCCAGCCTGAACTACACAGTAAAACCCCATTAAAAAAAAAATGCTGGGGATTTAGCTCAGAGGTTCTGCCACTTGCCTTGCAATCCTAAGGAACCAAGTTCAATCCCGGCTACACAAACACACACAACAGAAAAAGGTCTGGAGATGTAGCTCAGCACAAAGACCCTGGGTTCAATCCCTAACAAGCGTGCACGTATACACATATACACACACACACACACACACACACACACACACACACACATGAATCCTAATGTAATTTCTTAAAACAATAACCTGGGCCTGGTGGCCCACATCTGCAATCCCTACACTTGGCAAGGTCAGGCTGGGCTACCCAGTGAGATTCAAACAAACAAAAAACTAACACCTTGTACTCATGTACCATTTGGAGTGTTTCACAACTATTCTATATGCTAGTTCTCAAAATCATTCAGAAAGATAAAAGAATTACCTTTCCTCATTTTACAGATAAAATAAATGAAGACCAGATAGGTTAAGTGACCAGCTCTAGGTCTCATAGATACTTACTGGCACTGAATGATCTTGCAACCTAGCACTGTGTCTTCACTAGAAAGATGTCCTTAAAATTTCAGTTTCTGAATTCCTTATCCAGATAAGCAATCTTAAAAAGTTAGAATGGGAAATTGAACTTTGCTCCAAATTTACTTTGCTGGACAAAAGCACTGATTTTCTCCTGGTCTACTGAACATTCTGTCCATTTCTAAAATAAGAAAATTTTATTGCAGCACCTTCTGGAACTCTAAACGCCAAAAGTTTTCAAACTTTTAAAAAGTAAATGAAAAAACTAAAGCAAAATGCCTGCTCACAGACATAAACTAAATAGTAAATGTCAGCTGAGCAGACTTAAAAACCATTCACATGCCTAAAAAACGAGAGCAGATGGAAATAATGACAGTCTTAATTATAATTCAATTCTTGGATATTGGTACCTTCACAGAAAGGCAGGCATATACAAAGCCCCCTCCCCTGCCATGTTAATGTGCTTTTAGTTTTAAAATCAATGAAAGAAAACAGCCCCAATCTAGCAGACAGCAGTTCAGTATTTCTGGGGCTACTACAAAGCAGGGAGTGCATCAAAAATTGTGTTTACTCTAAAACTTACACTGAATATTGTTCCATTTGCATGCTGTATCATGAAACTAGGCCTCAATACCCCCCCCCCAATTTATCGTGTCTAAGCCTCTGGTAACTCTGCTCCTCAAACCCAACTGTTTCCCCTCCACCCGTGTAAATGCAACACACACAAGGCCTCGTATACAGGCCTCTTGCCTTTTTTTTTTTTCTCCTAACACAACTAGGACCTTTGTTCCCAGCGTCGGTTTTTACCCCACTCAATAGCTCTTTCAACTTTCTACTACGCATTTTTGTTTTGTTTTCAGAGAAGAGATTCTGAGCCTCAACTTGCCAGGTCTTTAAATGAAACGCCAAAAATATCTAATGAGACTCTCAAGAGAAATAGAAAGTTAAAACACACCACGAAAGGGCCTACAAAACCGAGGAAAGCCTGGAGATCGGGTGATCGGGCAGCCGAGGCGAGATCCGGAGCGCCGACTGGGGAGGGAGACAGCGGGAGGGCAGTTAGACGTTCACCTCGAACTGAACCACTGCGCGCTCAACCGAACCCCGCCCCCCGCACACACAGATCCGTACCCTCCCCTCGATTCACCGAGGAGTTGAGCTGTACCCCCACCCGCCTATGACCGAGGCAAGCCTCCCCCCAAAGTATAACTGCATTATCAAAAACAAACATATCTGTTTTGAGGTTTCCAAGCAGCCCCTTCCCCTCTCCCCTCGTCACACCAGGGTAACCAATTCCCTCCGACCCCACCGGCAGTTCAAAGATGTAAGACCCCCCCCCGCACCCGCGTCCAAGCGCAAGTATTTTTAAATTCTGACGAATTTTTTCCTTTCTACCTAATTAAGGATTTCTCTGATTCTGAGTTAGTGAGAGACAAGGAAAAGCCAAGACTGGGGATTGTACAGCTTCCCTGATTTGAAATCCCTAACTTGTTTTCTGTCGTAGAATCCCAGAGGAGGAGAGGGGTTGAACGGACAGGACAGACGTTATAATAGGTTTTATGTAATCCACATATAAATAAATCGCCTGACTCGCTTTTAGCTGCCAAGACGACTGGGGTGACAACTGGCCCACCTCCCTCCACCAAGTCCCAGATCGGCTCCCCGCGTCCACCAATTCCTGGGCCGAGCTATCCGGAGGATGCTCCGTTCCTCTGGCCAAGTTTCCTGGCCTCTCCGCCCTCGGCCAGCGCGGCCCGGCAGGAAGCCCCTTACTGCGGTCCAAAGTCCCTCGGCCTCTCGCTCCTCGGACCCTCGCTTCCCACAACTGTTGTCACTCGCGCTGCTCCCTAGTTTCCATTTCCGGGCCGTCCCCAGCCCGGAGCCTCCCCTCTCCCGGTTTCCGGGCCCCCGTCCCATTTCCGGGGAACCTTGGCCGTCTCTGCACCCCCCACCTGCACTTCCGGCCCCCCACTTTCTCGCCTCCCAGACGCCCTCCAAGCTCCCCAGCCCACTTCCG